GGTACAAGGGGTTCTCCTGAAAGAACAGAATTCTGTGTGCAAAACCAAAGTCATTCTTTGAACAATGTGTCTGAGTATTTATTGGGGGTTCTAATACTCACTATTGGGAATAAAGGTGAAGCTCCCTACCTTGAAATGCAAAGACTAAAAGGTGTGGGTGAGGGAGTGGGGTAGTCGTGGCCGAACTACCTGGAATAGTTGGAAGTCCAAATTTCGTAATTTCTCACGCACGTGTTTTACTTTTGAGAGTAGTAGACACGAATACACTGCATACAGCAAGGAACTAATAAGTAAAATGAAGTAAATGAACATAAAAAAGCAATTCACAATAGGCCTCCTTTTCACAATAACATCTACACACAAAGGCCCCAGGTTAGAGCATTCATTTTGAATTTGTTACTCAATGAGAATAACATATATGAGCCTTAGATAATTGAAAATTCCCAATTACAGTTCCGACGAGTGGGGTTTTCCAGCGTCTGCTGAGTGACGTGCGAGACAGTCTGGCTAAACCCAGTCACAACGTGATAGGAAGATGCCATCCGTCCCACCTTTCTTTTTCCGAACAAAAGCTATGATGGCTTTGTCAGGTCCCACTTGGAAACACAATATCAGTCTTGCTTTATCCATATTATTGATGGGCTGTGGGTATTCTACTGTAATTATGTCAAAAATGAAATATTTCAAAATGTGATTGGCAGGCTGATTACAATAATGCATGTGATTACACCCAGGGCTTGCTTGCGTAACTAAAGGGAGAATGTCAGTGGCAATTAACTGTATTTTCTTTAAAGTTTGCCAAGATTTCTCTTGTTTTTCTTTGTGTCATTGTAAAATAACTCACCAGGCACCTGGGGGTAGGCATCCTTCGTATTCTTCCTCCCAAGAGCCAATGGGATTGGAGGCCAGGAAGAAAGGAATCCTTAGCTCCTGTCTCTACCAGGTGAGCTTTGCCAGCCTCAGGAAAGGACTAGAACCGAGGACAAGGGCTGTTCAAATTCTCCCCATCTCTCTGTCTCTGTCTCTGGGTCTTACTCTCCTCTGACATAGGCTCTCCCGGGGTCCATCTGTCTCCCTTTCATTATCTCTTTCCCGCATCTCTTCAATTCAAAATCCTAGAAGGAAGAAACTTCATCTTGGATCACTTGCCCAATTGGCTGCCGTCTTATACGATGCATCCCCCTCCCACCTCTGACTCCTCACATTGGTCACAGGTGGGTGGATTTGATGGGTAGGTCCACTGCCAGATGTGAGTAGCAGGTGATTACAGTGGTCTATGTGACCTCAGAAACGGGCTGGGCTGGGGTGCAGTTCTGTTGTCATTTCCGTTCAGTCGACACTTTCAGAGTACCTACTAGATGCCAGGCTCTGATCTGGATCCTGAAATTATTACCCTTCCCCACCCCGTGGAGTTCACAGGAAATTGTGAAGTCACAAAAGTCCTCATTTTGGCCTTCTCCAATGCCCCTAACTGCATTTCTGCTAACAAGAACCCTGATGTGGAAAAAAGGATTCTTATCTCGGCCACCCCTGCCATTTGGGATTTTATCTTTAGATAGGAGAGCACGTGTCAAGGGCTAGAATCCTCCAGGTGAAACATAACAGTAGTACTTATCGAATGGGGGACTTGGACCTCAGAGCCTTGGGGATCATCCAAATCGTAGATGTCATTTCTTGTCAGAAGCCTTCCCTGAGTCCCTGGACTGGTCTAGGAGCCTCTTCTCTACACCTTTGCGCAGCCTTTACTTTGAACTTAGCATACTGCTTCATAATGAGTTTTTCTCTTAAGAAGGCCCCTGAGTGCAAGGACGGACGGTCCGTGTCTTATTCATCTTTATATACAAGGCCCAAGGACATAGAAGAACCTCAATGAAGACACGTTTATTACACGAATGACCTCTTGTATTTTCCTAGGGCTGCTGTAACAAAGCACCACAAACTGGGTGACTTCAGCCACAGATTTCTGTGAGATATTCTCTCACAGTTCTGGAGGCTGGAAGTTTGAGGTCAAGGTGTCAGCAGGCACATGTTCCCTCCGAGACTCTAGGGAAGGTTGTGCTCCAGGCCTCTCTCAGCTCCTGGTGGTTCCTTGGCTCGTGGCAGCACAACCCCAGTCTTCACATGGCATTTCCCCTGTGTGCGTGTCTGTGTCCAAGCGTCCCCTTTTATAAAGGCATCAGCCATATTGGATTAGGGCCCGTCCTACTCCAGTGTGACCTCATCACAACTAATTACATCTACAATGATCCTCTTTCCAATAGGGCCAACTTTCTCGTTACTGAGAGTTAGGACTTTAACATATACACATTTTGGGAACACACAACTCAACTCACAACAACCCTTTAGGCTGGTCTCAAGGTTCCTTCCTCCAGATTTAACAGAGAGTTTGCAAGTTTACTACCTCACTGTGGCCCCACAATACCCTGAGACAGATAAACAGCTGTCATGTGACAGACACTTAGGTTCTGAGCTGGGATGTGAGCACAGGTCTTGGGCTCTCCGGGCAGGGCCTGGGCTGCTCCATGAGTGGCCTGGCCACCATGCTCACCCCAGGCCTCAGGCCTTTCTCCTTCCTGCAGAAGGCTCCCCACCCCCACCCCCACCCCCACCTCCGCCCCAGGGCCTCTCTCAGCCCTGCACTCCCCTGCAGAAGGCCAAGGTGAGGTTGAGCTGTGCCTTCAGCCCTTCTAGGTAGACTTGAGCCTTGGGAGGAGATGGATGACTTGACAGTCCCCCACATGCCTTCCTTGAAGGGAAGATTTTGCTGGCTTTGCAGTGCAGTCTTGGATTTGACCCAGGTACATAAAAAGTTCCTAGAGAGATGATCTTGCCGTTGGAACGGAATACCGACTGACATGGTGTTATTGCTCGGCTCCTGGAATTGCATTAAATTCTCAGTAACCACCTACTAACGATGTTTTTCATATTTATGCTGTGTTTTTTTCTCAAATGGGCCACCGTCCCTATGCTTTCAGAACTGTGGCTATAAAGTGACACATGCTGGGATAGGGGACAGGGTGAGAATGAACTATGAAATAAGAGTTGTGCCTGAGAAGAGAGAGAGAGAGAGAGAGAGAGAGAGTGTGTGTGTGTGTGTGTGTGTGTGTGTGTGTGTGTGTGTATGCATGCGCATGTGCACGACTGCCTATCTTTTCACGGGATATGTTTTACTAGATTTGATGCTTTGATCTTGTCCAGTGTTCTGTTTATCTCTTGCTTCGTACTAAACCACCCCAACACTTAGTGGCATAGGACAGTAGCCATTTAATTACATGCACAGTTTCGTGGGCTAGGAATTGGGGCAGGGACGCGAGAAAGCCTGTCTCTGCTCCACAGTGACTTGGCCTCAGCTCAGATGACTTGAACTAGGGATGGCCTGAGCAGTTCAACCAAGGCTGCACTGCTGGGGCCTTGGTCCTGGCTGCTGGCCCTGTTCCTTGATTCTTCTCCACACTGTGTTTGCTAGGGCTCGATTATCCGAGACGGTGTTTGTACTTCCATGTCTTAGGACTAGGCAGTGACAGCTAGACAGCTCAGGCCGGCTGAGCATCTCTCCATGTGGCTAGCTTGAACTTCCTTACAGCACAGTGGTCCTAGGGGAGTTGGACAGCTAGCTCCCTTCCAGAGTGAGTATTTCAAGGCTACGAAGAAACTCCAAGGGCTCTTATTACCTAGACCTCGAATTCATATAGTGTCCCTTCTCCCACATTCTAATTGCCAAATAATTCTCTGAGGCCAGTCTTATTTCAAGAGGAAGGGGAATAAACTTCCCCTCTTAATCAGAAGATTGACAGAGTTTGCCACCATCTTTAACCTTTAAAGCTCATCATGCCTGTCAGCCATTATCCAATGGCTGGTCACTCCAAGCCCTTCTGCACGGGGTCTCAGAGCTATCCTTCTTAACCACAAATCCACTATGTCACCCCCTGTCCCCCCGGCACTCACAAATATATATAGCGCATCCATTGCCTCTGACGAATACCTAAGCTGCTTGGTATGCACAGCTCAGTAAATTCTTCATGGTCTGGCCTCAACTTACCATTCTGCTCCTCTCCCCTCACCCCCTGGTCTCCATCTTAATCTAATTACTTGTCTTCCCCCTGGGTCTTTTCATGTGCTGCCTTTGCTGCAGTCCTGCCTTGGACGGACGATTATTTCTTCCGGCAGCAACTCGTCTTTCTAATAAGACTCCTCTGGCATCTGCCCTGCCCCACCCCACCCTACAAGGTGCGCGTTGATCTCATGGACCTTGTCACGCTGGCTGGTAATTGTCTGTTCACTTGTCTATCTCCCCTTTTAGACAGTGAGTCCCTTGAAGCCAGGAGCCACATTTTTGAGGGTGTTGGTCTTTGCCTAGGAGAGGGCCTGGGAAACAGAGTGCATCTTGTAAGGGGGAATGCATGCATGAACGAATGTTCTGAGAACAGGCAGATGGTGTGGCCTGGGGAATGGCTTCACATTGGAATACCCGGATGGAAGCATATGAAGTATCAGCAGGAATAGCTGAAATAGCTGAAAAAGTCCATTTCAGCTTCTGGAATTCGGAGCTCCGCCCCCCCCCATCCCCCCACCAAGTGTGCTGTGCCTTTCATTAGTGCCATGGAGTGGTGACAGACATTGCTCGGAAGAAAGATGTTCTGCGGTGGAATATATTTGGGAAGCCCAAGATTGAACAAAGTTGAATTTTCCCCTCTGACTGTAGGAGTTAAATATGCTGATGGGTATTGGAAAGCTCCTCACAGAAAGTACAGGATGCCATGTTTCCAAACTTATTTCACTCTGGACCTGGGGTAGGGTCATCGGTCCATGGTGCACTCTTTGGGAAATGCTCTTCCAGCTTCTCACGGCTGCTCTGCCTACCACCACTTTCAGGGGATACTCCTGCTTTTAGCCCCTGTTGACTAGGCAGGCAGTGGACCAAATGTCCCTGGTCCCCAGCTATTGGCAGAGGGTGGGCCTATGACCAACAAGTGCCAACCATGTCCTCTTTACCTTGGCAGGTGACAGAGCTGAAAGGTCGCATGGAATCGGGTTGGAGGCAGCCATATTGGTCCATGCACAAGATGAGTGACTGTGACAATTCTGTGGTGTATTCAGATGCCTTTTACAGTGAGGAAGAGGAGGCTTAGAGAAGTGAATGACTAACACAGGGCAAAGCTGAGAATCAGTGGTCTCCTGGCTCCACGTTTGGGGGTCCACTACCCCACTACTCTCTGTGGAACCTCAATCCCTCAGTTATGGAAGAATCATGTCAACCAGGTACAGGGAGCCTACATTCACTGAGCACCAACGTGAACCAAGCTTCTTGGCACCTGTAATGAATTGTCCCCTCACAAGAACATGGGGAACTAGTCTTACGGAACTTATGTTATAGCATGCAATGACCCAACCAAGGAAATACACTGGGAGTAATGAGGAGCGTTAGAATTAAGCTCCATTTCTGGATGGCTTGGACGTTCTGCATGAGCGATGTGCCTGAGGAAGCCCCTTGCAGTCCGTTCCCAATGGTTTCGACGTCTGCAAATGGGCATGTGGAAAGGGGCAGCCCTGGGAAATGTGTCTTACTCGCCAGCTGGAGGCCCCGCCTCGCCATGGGGCTTCCTGCCGCATGGGCTGCTTCCAGGGAAGCCTTCGAGGGAAGAGGATCGATGGCAAAGTTGGTAGATCCAGCAAGGCCGTTGCAATAAAAGCTTTTTATGCCTCGTGTTCAAAGCGTTTAAGTGCCTTTTAGATCACAGATTGAACCATCGACATTATAAAGTGGAACCTTTTAATACCAAAATACACTTCCAGAGTAAAATTCCATTATGGGAAAAAGCATTTCACCGTACCAGGCTAGATAATAATTCTCTCACATGTAATAGGATGTATGAAATGCCTGATGATAAACAGAGCTTCTCAGCATTGTAATAAGGCGACTGATACTGCAGTATGTGAGTGAGTGTGTGTGTGTGTGTGAGTGTGTGTGTGTGTTGTACACACATTAACAAGTCCCGTCTTATTCTAGACACCAGTTTCTTTATCTGTAAATAGTGGGAATTGAACTTGATGGGCTCTGAGCTGCTTTCTGCTGTCAAATTATATGAAAAGACCATTTTCTCACTTTTGGTTTCCATGTCCTCATCCTTAAAATGAGGGCTTTTGAATCAATCAGGAAACTTTTAGTTGCAAGTGATAACTCAAAGTGGCTTAAGGGAAAAAAGAAGGAAAAGAAAAGAAAAAAGAAAAGAGAAGGAGTATAATGGCTCATGTAACTAAAAATTTCAGAAGTGTTCAGGTAAGGGTGCATCCAGGTGCTCCAGCATTGTTACCAGTTCTCTTGATATCGTGGTCAATCAGGCTCCCCCTCGATGCAGCCTTCCCTTCCCTCCAGGTTCACATTCTCATTGCTTGGCTTCACCAGCAGAAGGAGAACTTCTTTCTCCCAACATTTTCAACAAAAGCCCTTGGATTGAATCTCATTGGCTCAGATTGGATCACATGTCTATCCCCTAAGCCAATCATCATTGTCAGGGTGCAGAGTACACTGATTGATTGGTCAAGCCTGGATCACATGTGCATTCTAGAGCAGAGGTAGGAACGGGTCATCCCATTCTGGCTGTAGAGTGAAAGTTATAGAGGATGGTTCTTGGAATAGCGGGGAGCTGCTGATAGAGGAAGCGGGAAAGGAAACAACAGATAGCCATTTGCAGTGTGGACTATTAATAGCTCTAGCTGGCCCTGACACTTGCCCAAACTGTAGAAGCATCGCGCTAGAAGCACTTTTGAGATTATAAAGTCTAAGGTAAGAAGACTGAGGTTCAGAGGGGAGAAGTGACTTGCTCAAGGTCACTTGAGTCTTTAGTAGCAGGTCTGCTACTAAAACTCAGGTCTCTTACCCTCAGCTCCATGCTCTATAACTCCTCTTTGAACTATGCAGCTAGGGAGGCCTCCTGGGAAGGGTTGACTTGGGGGAGCCTCTTCGTAGAGTCTGGAGAAGGCTTTGCTATTTCAAGTTGCTCCTACTGACAGTAACCCTTTGGCGTAGCCAGTTTGGGATATTTCAAGTAGGCTGCTGCCTTTAAAATTTTCTTATGCAGATTTCTGATTATTTGCTAGGTACTCTGGGTCAAGTTACTTAACGTCCCTGGGCATCAGTTTCTCAATTCGTCAATCTACCCTTGTATCAAAGCGCCTTCTTCTTGCTTCTCTCCCCACATGCATACCCCTGGGATCTCTTGTGTTCTAGAAGAAGATCTAATATACTCTTCTACAATCTGGGTTTTCATGAAAGGTTGGGTAACCTCTCTTGGGAAGTGTCTGTATTTTAACAAATGAGTTTAAAGAATACAGCTCTGTTACAATGGGAGTGTTCCTGGCTGTGTGGGGTGGCCATAACCCTGGCTTTGGAGAAGACACGCCCGGGTTCAAGTCTTGACTCCTCCATGTATATGACCTCGAGCAGGTGTAGAACCTTTTCAGGCCTCTGTTTCATTCTCTGAAGAGTGGGGACCTCGCAGAGTGGTTGTGCTGGGGCCAGAGCAGGATCCAATTGTGGGGGGCGGGGGGCGGCGGGCATGTAGCAACAGAAGACACCTGGGGCCCTTGGGAAATTGTCGGGGCAGCTTCTTCTCTTAATTCCATTACAGGGAATTATGGCAGCAACACTGGCCATTTTGGCTGCGTCTGCTATGGTGGTTTGAACTGTGTCTCCAAAAAGCTTTGTCCAAGTCCTAACCGCCATACTTGTGACGGTGACCTTACTTGGAAACAGGGTCTCTTTGCAGATGTTAAAGACTTTGAGAGGAGGTCATTCTGGGCTTAGGGTGGACCTTGAACCCAGTAACTGGTGTTCGTAAAAGAGAAAAAAGAGGGAGATTTGATGCACACAGGAAGAAGGCCATGCGAAGGTGGATGCAGAGGTTTGAGTGATGCTGCTAGAAGCCTGGGGCCCCCAGGAGCTGGACGAGGCCAGAAAGGATTCTCCCGTAGAGCCTTTGGAGGGAGTGGGACCCTGCTGACTCTTTGATTTTGGACTTCTGGCCTTCAGAACTGTGAGAGAATGAATTTCTGTTCTTTTAAGTCACCAAGTGTGTGATAATTGGTTGTGGCAGCCACAGGAAACGAATACAGCTGCCAACTTAAGTTTATGATAAAACAGAAACTTTACAAGTTATGGAGCATTGACTCAAACTGCCTTTCTGAGTACAAAAAAATTCTTATCTCTCTCTGCCCGTCTCCCTCTTGCCCCTCCCCTCCATTCACTCTCAGCATGAGCCCTATCTTTATGTTCGGTCTGATTACCCATGGAAATTCTCCCTACTGAGCTGATTAATCAAAATACTGAGTCATTTATATTACACTTAGAAATTCCTGATCGTGCTTAAAAATAGTGACAGATACATATAAATAAACCCAGCCACAAACCAGAGTGGTTATTGGTGATTTAATTCACTCCAGGATCATAAAGGGGGTGGTGGTGAAATTATATGGCAGGAATGCATTTTTAATCATATGTCTTTACTAATAAAAATATATTAACACATTACACATGCTTAGGCTTTGGTGAGTCAGCCATCGCAAACTATTCATTTCCTCATTCAACAGATATTTATTGGACGGCGCGCCAGGCACCGTGCAAGCCCTCCGCTCTTAATGCTCTTCAGTCTAGTGCAGGAGACAAACAGCCAAGTGTGCGGAGACATTGGGTGTTGAATTTGGTGATGAGCGCTTTAAAGGAAGGATGCAGGGTGCTGAGAGAGAGGTGGCTGAAGGCAGTGGTTGAAGGCATGGGCTCTTGAGCCACCACCCTTGAGTTTGAATCCCAGCCCTGCCACTCATTAGCTATGTGCCCAATATCAGCTACTGACACCATCGGGCCTCTCTTTTTAGTTCCCTAGTCCATGCACATAGCCTTTCCTCTTAATCTTGGTCTGTTTTGGATTTTAGTGGGTAGCCTGAAAGGTTGCTCGAGCTCCTCTAAGTTGGTAAGGCTCAAACTCCAACGTTCTCCCAAGTGACAGGCAGTGGTGAGGTGTCGGCCTGCGCTTTCAGCTTTCCAGTTGTTTCTCTCTTGGGCTGTTGAGTCTTGCTCATGCCAGTGTAATTTATTAGTCTGCCAAGGGTGGCAGGTGTGTTTCTATGAGGTTTTAGGGCTGCCCCTGGGGCTCTGTCCTGTGACCTCCCCTCCTTAATTCCCAATTGTTCCTGGCCTTTCGCACTCCAGCCTCTGGCTCCTCAGGCTATAAGATTGTGGCTTTCTTCTTGAGTTCTAGCTCCCGATTGCATGTGGACTGGGAAGTGTCCTCAGTGGAAATGTCAGGTAAATGTGGATCTCTGCTGTGTGGCTCCTCTGTCAAGGGCACATCCCCTCCTGTTTCTGCCTGCTCTTGGCGACTGTCCAGTGGGAGGTTAGTATGATATAAGCTGCTCCACCATCACTGCCGGAATGCTCTGATTTTTTTTTTTTTAATCTGCACTCGCTCCTTAGGCTAGTCCATCTGTTCCCATGGAGAATCCATTCTCGTTTCTAACAAGCCAACTCTGTGCTGACGACTCCCAGGTTTTTATCTCCACCCTCTGAAACCTGTGTAGACTCGAGCATAAAGATAGAGAATGGGGCCTTGAAGACTAAGAGCCAGCGAAAGACACCGCAGAAGAGCTTTCAGATAAGGAAACGGAAATGAGGGCAGAGGCCGAGAGCGGAAAGTGCTTTAAGGAGGAGAGAATGGGCAACGGGGTTAAATGCGGGGAGGAGGCCGGTAAGATAAGAACTGAGCGGTGGCCATGATAATCAGTGACATGTGGTCCCTACTGACCAGAGCAAGAATGCATTTGGTGGCCTGAAGGAGGTAGATGGCACAGAGGAGAGGTTAAAGAGAGGCTCAAAAGGAGATGAAGAACCAGTAGTCATAGACAAAGGTGTAGAGCGAGGGGCCGCAGCTGGGGACAGTGCTGTCTCGGAGGGTCAAGAGACAACGGTAGCTTTTTGCAATCTCTCAAAAGCACCGATCAGCCTCCATGTTCCGCGCCTTTGCATGTGCCTTTTCCCTGCCAGGAATGCCCTGCCCACTCTGTCCGCTTGGCTCACACCCACTCATCCTTTAGAAGTTCAATGGCATTGGATATTGGCATTGGGTCCAGCCTTACCCAGCAGCCTCCTAGCTTCCATGCTGGGTCAGGCCTCTCTCCTCTTTTTTGTTTGTTTGTTTGTTTGTTTTTGCTTCTTCATCTCTTCCTACTTCCCTCTGTCACAGCTATTGGGGTTTAGGAACTCAAGTAACTAACACTCTGTCCCTTTTCCTCTGAATTTTGAAATACATTGAAATAGTGGACATAGAATCAAACAGATGAATATCCAAATGTCAGCTTTATTGTGGGTAAAGCTGGATTGGAGAACGTGGCTTGACCTGTGGCCCAATGGGCTTTTTTAGACTTTGGCCTCAGATCTAAACCTGACTCCCCTGAGCTAAGCCATATGTAGCCAGATGGAAGGCGGTGTGGTGTGTGTGTCTCTGCCCCATGCTCCTGAGCCTCAACAGAATGTTATGTGCTTGTAGGCCTGAGTCAGGAAGGCAGGACTGGTCTTGCCCTGAGTTTTCTTACCCCTCAGCGGTTCTCAACCTTCCTAATGCCGCATCCCCTTAATACAGTTCCTCA